CCAGATTGCTACTGCGTCTAAATATTATTTTATTATATGCACACACATATATACGTAGATATTATTAAGCCTAGAAAATATACATATGTGAAACAACAGTAAACAAAAAAATACCGCCACCTACTCTAATGGGAGGAAAATCGCAACCGTTCTCACTAATTATGTTCTATTTTCAGTAATTTTCATTTTTTATTTATTTATTTATTTATTTATTTATTTTTTTTTTTTTTTTTTTTTTTTTGCAATAACAAAAAAGATATAACAATAAAGCTATAATTGTTTCAAAACGAATCTTTTATACCCCGACACATAAATTAATATAAAACTGTCGGTAATTTGTTAATTATCAGCAGATCATCCCTCCATCAAATGTATTCGATTAACAAGCAGACATCTGTGTCAAGCAATTTTAAAAAACGAAGTTATAGAAATCATTACATAGTCCTCCCGAAACCCAAACCACTATGCTTACCACCTCTATCTAACCTATTGGTCAATTAATTCATAGGATTACGTCACTATTGATAAATTCATTCAATTTTTGGGTAGTACGATTCGTCAAATGAAATGTGATGAAATTTCATGACATTCCGACCGTCACTTCACAAGTTACAACGGTGTTAGTGATGCGGCTTTTGTAATTTTTAAAACAATGGAAACAGTTTGAATTTCGTGTCGCGATTAAGATAAATATATAGATATCGCTTTTTAATGGGAAAAAGCGCCGTTCAAGCAAATTAACCAGTTTACAAAAGTTATTTAAACTCCGCTTCGTCGAAGCAATGCTAGAGAAGCGGTTCTCTGATTGACAAACGGAACGTCCTGACCGCCCAAATTGACGATTGGGTCCGAAAACACTAAAGAGGGAAAAGTGAAGGTTGAGACATCAGAAGGCAATGTATTTACTATTTTGCATGGAGGTTTGTTCGCTAGCTTTCAAAACTTCATTAACGAATACACTGCCGAAATGACAAATACAGTTTCACAGATTTGTCTGTTAGAAGGCGCTTCTTGGAAATCATTTGCGAATATGTCTTTAATTTCATCGAGAAAACTCTCTAAAAAAAATAAATCCATTCTTTGTGCACAAACTTATTTCACCCTGATAAAACCACTTTTCGTTCGGAAAGAACGTTGTCTCTAAAGAAATTAAAAAAAAAAAGAAGACAATAATGAAGAGAGAAGATGCGATTTCTCTAAGGAATATGAACACTAAATGTAGCTCCCGGCCATCTTTGTTGTTCGCTTCGCCCTTAATAAAGTTGGTGGTTAACTTGATATATACGCGTATGATCGTGAAATCTATTTTAGAACATAATTGATAATATTTAACTGTCAATATCTACCATGAAATTGCGAAATAGTACGCAAAGTCCGGAGAATGTCTAAGGTCTCCATCAAAACTGACAATTTATACGTAATTGTAATAAATGTCGTCGCAAGCTTTTGAAAAAGTTCGAATCGATTTAATGTCAATAAGAAATCAATGCGAAAGAGTAAATTCCTTCTTGCAGTTATTCGAATAATTTCAAGGAATTGAAAATAGACCCATCGACTTCAGATCGGATCGACTTGGGATGACAAGGACAATTTCAATGCAACAAGTTCACATGTTCATCTAACAGAACAGGCATTCGACATTTCCAGTGTTACGAACGGTATGTCGCGATTATCATAACCGCATCCGCAGATGGCATGTACAAAAATAACAATATAAGTATAAAAAAAAACATAAAGTAATTTACTTTTTTTATCGCAGAGTCTTCCTTTTTAAAATCAAACAAAAATTATCGCAATTATAAAATCTGCATAGAAATGTGACGCTATGTAAATAAGTTAATAGAGAGAAGGGTATAAAAGATCATGATTTCTTAAATATGATACACAGGATCCCTTAAAAACACGCTACCGTCGTTTTGTTATCTAATGTACATGTTGCAAAAACAATAGTAACACTAAGAATATCTACACAAACTAATCTTAAATTGAAGAGTTCTCTACTAAGCGAACACTCGGCCCACATACAGCAGTCATATATAGTCTGTTAGGATGTTGAAAAAGATATGAAGCAATGTAATGTGTTCAAAAAAAAAAAAAAAAAAAACAGGGGACGTTTTCAATTTTGTGAGCTATGTATATGTGATTTTCTTCTTTTTTTTTTTTTATGTTTGTACACATATGCGTGTAATATATAAAGTTTGTTCTTTTTTTTTTTTTCAAACGGATAGGTGAACAAGCGAAGAAACGAGCAAAGATGTGAATTGCTCGGACGTGCATCTTACAGTGCATCTAAAATGCAATGATGTAAATTCTATAATATGTATACAGTAGTGTGTAGGTATATTGTTTGAATAATAGAATAAGAGCGGGAAACATCGAAAGACATTACTAGGGCGAATGCTACTGCAATAGCCTATAAAAATAACGTCATTTTTGGGATGGACAGAAAGGTAATAGGATGACACTATTCGACCTGATTAAATATAAAGCATACACGGGATCTTTCTTTAGTAGTGATGGTGCAAATCGTCCGAAGCATCAGTTGTATGATACATAGCACCATCCTACTATCCATCATTGCCGGTAGGGATTCATCTCCCATCATCTGGAAATATGCCCAATGGCATCGCCACATCACAAACCACGCACACACAGTGAGTTGTTCTGAATGCAGTGACGCGTAATCGAACACTTGTGGATTCTTTCAGCTTCAATAGCGGCAATTTTGTATATTAACCAACCTACTAACACACTTCTAAATTCTCGTGATGAAATTGCAAGTAATACTGAGTACACTTGCAACCTTACCACAAAATGTATTTGAAAGCGGAAATTACTACTCTATCGCAGCCTGTGTAGCTGGCGCAAATTTGAATCTAAAAAAAAAAGAGAAAAAAGAAAAATAGTTACAACATATAAATATATATAAGATGTCGCAAAACTTACGCACGATTTGAATTTGTGGCCATTTGTGCGGTAAAGTGTTGACGACCACAGAAACAAAATTAAATTTCTAACAGTTTACAGTTAGTAAAAACGGAGCATTACACGAGAGGCTAAAGTGTATTCATTGTTGAACAATATTTCAAAAAAAAAATTTTGTCAACTAAATCATCTGATTTAATACTTCCAAGTTTTTATTATGTGATTATTTGAAGTTGAATGTGTAAGCAACTACCAAATCAAGGCAAGAAAGGGCAAAAGAAAGTGAATTTCAGAAATACGTACGTCCCTCGTCGAAGAAGCTACGTTTGACTTGGAAGTACGGCTTTCTCTAAAAAATGAATTCCAAGAAAAATGTGAGATTTTATTGCCTGAGCTCAGCTTATTCTCAAGCCTAAGCTGCCTGAACACATCAGTGTCAAGCAGCATTATACAAATATAACAACATATTATTTGACCTGAAAAAGTCAAAACAGTCGACTTTTTGTGGGAGCGTTCCGTTACCTACCTCTATTATATCGATACGCATAAGTTGAACTCTGTTTTGATTCTAAATCCAGCTTTAAATTCCAAGTACAAGCCCCCGTTAATAAAACGAAAACTTTGCTGGCAGTTATTTAGCTTGGGTCGTACGATCCTTATATTATTAGAAGATTATTTGCCGAGCATGTTAGGCCCGTTTTGGAGCATTTCGTCGCAGTATGGTCGCCGAACTAAAGGTATTACGTTGATTGAGATTGAGTCTGTGAAAAAAGTTTTTTGAAAGTTTGCTTTGCGAGGCTCGAGATGGAAGCCGGCAGTCCCATTGCCACTTTAAGTAACTAAGAGTCACCTTAAGCCTACATAAATAGCATGATTAGCGTAAGTAGCCGAGTAGGAAAGAATCGCGACCACCAAGTCGCTGCTTGCAGATTCAGATCTCAAGTGCGACAAAGCTTATTTTCGTTGTGACTATAATGAATGCCCACTAGACTACGATCGGCCGCCGATTTCTTTCTCTTGCTTGGCTTATTTTTGACCGTCATCAAATGATTGATCATATTTATGAGAAGAAAAACACATTGAGACTTGCAGAGTAGACGCACCTGGTTAACGCAACTGGTTTACTATAAAAATACCATCTTCTGAGGGCTATTTGCCGCCAGGATAACTGGGATTGAAGTGCTTTCCTATTTGCGATTGAATGTTACTTTATTTTAGTCATTTTAAATTAATTATAAACCATACATTGAATAAATAATAATAATAATAATATATCCAATGTATTTTTCCCAAACAGGGAGAAATTTTGGAATCGCTGATTTAGAATTCAACTGCTAATGAATGCATTTAAGTTTAGAATTATTTAGACTATTATGAATACAACAAAGTAGCATCTTTCTATTGTTTTGAGCGCTAAAAGAATTTCTGAGTAAAGATTTTCAAATCAGTCTCACGGAGTTAAGCAACAGCTTATCATCATCAACAGGAAAAACAAGAAAAAATATATAATAAATAAAATGTATATAAATAAATAAATAAATAAATAAATAAATAAATAAACAAGAAGATTCCTTCAAGAAGTATAAATTTGGTTTATTTATTGCATTGCAGTGCTGGAGAAATCCGCCCTTCTTTCCTTGCTCGTAGATATGCAAGTGCTTCAAATGTTTCCCATTTGCAAGTGTGTCATTTAAAAGAGAAGAAGTGTTTATTTATAAAATATGAATTTTTGTTTATTAAAAATAACGTCAAGTTAAACTGTCGCTCAGTTAATTTTTTCTTCTTATTAAACGTTTCTTCAAAAATAAAAAAAAATGATATTTTTCTTTAAATTTTTTACACATTACATGACTAAGAGCAAGTATGTACTTTATTTATTTTTATTATTGCATATAAAATAAAGCATCCTTAATAAATTTTTCTTTTTTTTTTCATCTGCCTGAGTGGTCGAGTAGGTAAGAGTCTCGACTAGCAGCTCAGTGGTCGTGGGTTCAAATCTCAAGTGCGTTAGAGTTTTTCATAACGCCGAAAGCATTAGAATGCTAGCCCTTTAAGACTTTAGTCTTAGAATTTATTCTCTGGCTAAATTAATAAAAACGATCATAATAATAATAATAATAATAAAAATAAATTTTAATATTTTCAATCAAATAAGAAAATTAGGAGAACTAGCTAAACTTTATTATCATCAAATTTGATTTGTGTTTAATTTTTGAAAGTCATTTTACATAGAACACCATTTACTTACGCAAGAGTTGAGACATTTAAAGAAATTTTTCCAATATGTTGATTATATGAATGTTGCTCCCATTGTTTCGGGAAATGTAATTAAGGCTCTTTAAGGCTTGTACTTGCAGCAGATCTTCGATTCAGTTCCCTACATGCAGTGTATGCAAGCGTCTTTTAAGAATTTACAACAGAAATGTGACTCGCTCATTAATTGCAGAACACATAGCAATCTCGTTCTCTTCCTTTTTTTAAGCGCCTTTAATCTGAATCTGGTTCGTTAGAAAGATTACTTAATTAGAGCAAAAATGTTTCAAGTTGAAAAAGAAACAAGGAACAAAGTTATATTCGATCGCGATCGAGTCTTTCATCATCACATCATCGCTTAATAATGAGCTGAAATATGTAGATTTTGCATGGACTCTGAAGCCTCTTTCTAGATGCTGTAAATGCTCATACGATTAAATTAGAGTAGCGGTTTTTCCATTTTTATGTATGTGATGTGGTGATGTGGTGAGGTGGGGGACCGCTCATGCCTTGCAAATGCCAATTATTTATCATTGTATCTGTTGTGGTTTATAGCGTTCAAAAAGGAGCAAAAACCCATTTTTTTTTTCGTTTCTTAAAAACATAGGCGGTGTCAGGACATGTTCTACTGTGGTTAGGTCCTTTGATCGATTTGCCAACAACTGCCAATTTTGGTGCCAAATTTGAATTTGATTTGCGCATTTATGCGACCAGGAAAATGTTTACGACAGACACTGCATAGACCGATAAATGAATGAACGAACTCAACTCTTAATGTTAATGTTATTACATCGACAAGGAGTTAAATCACTAAAGTTTTGCATTCGATAGGTTCCAGGGAGGATTACTTTCATATAGTTCATATGATTTCTTATGATTATTATGAATGTCTTTAGCTTATCTCTGCTTCGTAGAGTGACTAACGAATTAATCGAATAAAAATTACTTTAACCCTCTTTACGGAAGTAACTCTAGTAGGCATATTTCAAGAACTTACCTACGTATTTACTTATGCTTTGCTTAAATTATTTGAGTACCGCGTCGTACTGTTTATAGTGATGAAGAGCTAACTTTCAAAAATAACATTATTTATGCAGATTTTAGTTACTTCCTGGAGACATACAATGCATTGCACTCTACTTGGATAATTGGGAAAAAAGGGTTTTTTAAAGAATGTCTTTCTCGCCCTATTAATACAGTTTCAAACGGATTAATTTAGTCGCTATAGAATCTTCACATTTGATCCTCCCAACGGCAGCATTGACTTGACATTCTCATTAAGTGAAGTTAACTTTAAGCCTCACTTTCGTCTTTGTCGGCATTTTCATTTAATAACATTTAAACACATTATAAGCGCAGTTGCGTACATTTTAGACTTCATTTCGAATCGTCTTTATATATATATAAAGGATACAACTTAGTTCGGTCCGTTTGATCCGTGTGATCATAAATGCATTTATTTCAGAAGGAAATGAGAAATAAACGAACGATCGTTAGCTACTACTTCTTCCTACCTCTTAGTCAATTTTCGAATTCCATGCTTTTAGAGGGTATGCGCAAAAGCAGCCCTATTCGGGTATCGTCATAAAAATGAAAACACCGTTCCAACAAACAATAAATCACCGATTGAGACCCGCGTTTATTGCTAAGAACTAATGTACGCTGATGACACTGACGAATGCAGTACATTCCAGAAATGCAAATATATCCTGAGCGAATTGTGCTAAATGGCTTCAAATACCTTCATATTGAAAACTGAAGATATCGTAATTTTCGGCATCCCACGCCCCTATTTTGTCGAAATATCATCACTTGTTGGCAGCGTTCCCATGTAGAAGAAACCGTAAAACGTAATGCCGTTTTATTCTGCATCTTTCAGTACTATTTTCGACCCTCTATTGGTAAACGGACAGAACTAATTTGTGCTCGCGACAACTTTAATAATACACACACATAGAACAGTTTTCGTATTCGTTTGTCGTGAAATTAAATTAGAGTGAAAAATATGTAAGAAGTGCTTCTTTACGGAAACCATTAATATTTCCAAATGTTCTGTTGCCACATTTTAGTGTGTTTGCAACTATGTACGCATTCAGCTTGTATGCACACAGTTTTATGTTTATTGACCGTGAACGTGTACTACTTTCAAAGTAAATACATTTATTTTTTTTTTATTGTTCATCGCAGGGGTATATTAAATATGCCGAATGTTTAAAACAAATGGAAATATGCATCCAAGATGATATATATATATATATGTTCTCGTTGAGGAAGAGCCACGTATGCTCTGCCAGTCCATCTTTGCGTTTAATACGCACATATTATCTGAAATTTTTTCTAAGAGGAAAAGGAATCGTTTTAAATTTGTCAATCATGCCCTCGTCAGGTTAAATTCGAAAAACAACAAAATCGAACTACGAGCTTGTCACACAATTACAAAGTGAATGATTTACTAAGCATCCGTTCTCCCATTAATTTATGGCTTCATGGCTGCAGAGATTTTAGTTAACAATCAGTTTACAACTTTACTCTTAACTTGTTAAGTGTAAAAAAATTGTATTAATTTTTTTGATAATATTCTAATTTATTTAACACATACTTGTTACAAGGCTTAGTCGTTGCAATATTTAATGTAAGTTTCTGTTGTGGTTTCACCATTTATCGAGTAGCTTATACTTACTGCTGCGGTAGAAGTTTGGTGCTTTCGAGGGAAAATAGTTATCGAAACATTTTTGCACATCTTCAACTTTCGTGAATCCCCCCCCTCCCCACGATCAGCCGAATATAATGATATCGATCGCGGAAATCAGAAGGAGCCAGATTAAGATCGAACGAACATGCCGCAAAGGGAAGAGTTTCCCAGGTGAAATTATAGATTGAAGATTTACTTCGGTTGCTTTTGCTTCATGCACACGGGCGTTGCCATGGAAAAAAATTGCTTTTTGAGTACCTTTGTCAACAAATTATATTGTTTCCTCAAGCTAGTCACTTCGTTTGCTTAGCCGAGCTTGATATCATTTAGACGAAACAGTTTCACCACACTTCACAAGCTCGTAGTAGATTAATCTTTTTCTTCTTCTAAAATTCTTTTAAAATATTTCAGACTCGATAGCAAACTCGACTTTTCAACATCACATGAACTTGAACGGCATAAAACATTTAACATAACAACAATAAATAAATATTTGCGAAAATAAGAATGTTGCTGCACAAAGCTCATCGAAAGTTGAAGCTAAAGATGTTGTTCACATTAAAATACTTGCAAGAAATCGGACGTTTACCGTTAGCAAACGATGAAATAGAATTGTTTGGAAACAAACACAACAACAAATCCAATTTTATTTCATATATAAGCATTTAAAATACTATATATAAAGGTCTTCCCTTTTAAGTTATTGTAAATAGAAAAATGATTAGGTAATTGTGTGTTGCGCAGGAACTTAAAAGTAACTCCCCATCCCTCCAATTCTCTAGCATCTTTCTTTCTTTCGCAATGCACAAGAAAAGATCAACTTTCCTTGTAATTTTATCCTATATCTACGCAATAAAAATGGAAGGAACTCAACAACTATCACAGACAAATCTTCCTCCCTTTTACTTTCACCTATCCATTTCAATTCTTGTCTGCCTTATGATTACTTAACGAACATTGCGTCACTTATAATTTCTGCATTTTTATACACTACTACTACACTACTTGTGGTAGGGGTATATTAAGTCTATGCCGATCTATACGACATCCAGAAGACTATCTGACTCGATTCAAGCTTGTCTGTCCATTTGAATGTCTTTAACCTTGGGTTTAACCTACGGATGAAAACTTTGGAAATATTTCGATAAAATTTTGGACACAAATGTGCTTTCACCAAGCGCCGAACGCTATTAAAAATGATTCGGATCGGATCACTTTTTGGACCACTCCCCATACAATGCCTTATTTCGCTAAGTCGTTATAAGAAAAAATATTGTAATTTTTAGGAGGATATTTCATTATTAATTAAGCGAGGTGGGGTACGCTGTCTAAAGTTCGGCCTTGTTCGACTGTAGCGTTCTTAATTGTTTAGCATATAATTTTCATTGTAAATTGATTATTAAAATAGAATTTTTTTGTCAAAAACAACAACCTCTGTGACAACCCTTCAAATGCATCGAAATGCTAAGAAGAAGAATTGATTAAAAATGAAAAAATGAAATAGACCGATGAGAGTAATGTACTGCACAAGATGTAAGTGAAGAGAAGAGAAAGAAAAAAATTTACAGCCGTATTCTAGTGTTGTGATCGGTCACTACTCATTGTAGAACACAACGGGTTTGTTTGTCATAGATTTTGATTGACTCCGTATTAAAGGTGATATTTTTGGGAACAACGACCGCAATAACATTCTTCAATATCAACTACTTTATAAAGCAAGATTGTTAAATCGCGAAAGCCATATAGAAAGCAATATGCTTATGACTTATGACGAGGCTGCAATGTTACTCAGAATAGGGCAGACTAGATAATAAGTTCTGGTATTAATTGTAAAAGTATATGTGAACCAAATGTGTTTAATTTCTTTATATATATATATATGTGATTATGTTATATGTTATTTGTTATTTGTATTA